TTTTTTTATAATGATTGACACAAAATGAATGGAAAATTTTCTAGACATTTTTTAAAAATACAGTTGTAGGTATAGTTTATATATATTTTTTTACAGTAAGTTAGACCGCATTATAGTAAAGCCCAATAATTTACTACGCGCTGATGCGGTTTGTCAATGCGTCGAGTTGATGCGCCAATGCGTCTGGCAATGGGTTGTGCGGAGATAAGGCGGAATATTGGTTTTGGGCCAAAACCATCAAAAGAAATATCACAAACACAATAGACGAATTTTCAAACGAATTAATGAATCGCACCGACGAGCAACATCGACGGACCGCAACGACACCTCGCATCGACACACCGCATGGACGATCTATGCGCTTAATAAATAAGACCGCAATAATGCCGCATCATACTCACTATGCGTGTATAAACGCATGGCTGCATCAAATTAGCGCATATTGAGTATGTATGGAGCTTAAGAAGCAGCGTGGTGAAGACGTTGTTCCACTGTTCCCATCTTAAACTTTGTCAGCTATCATAAAAAGATTCTTATTAAAATTCTAATAAATTAAATTTTACAGAATTCATAAGCAAAACTTTTAAACTAAAATTGGCTGTAATACTAAATATAAATGGAAATAAAATATTAGTACGCCTCTGACTCAAGAGTTTGATGGCTTCCAAACTTTAGAGAGGCGGGATGAGACCAATCAGCTAAGACAAATCAAGTGGTGGCAAAAAATATGGCCATAGATGCCAGGTCTAGGAAATATTCCCTAACATTAAGGTTTCTATCGAGGAAATTCATTTTTAGAAAGCATATTTTTTGACACAATTTAATGTGTGTATTTAATTTGTTTTCTCAAACTTATAAATATTTTAAAAACATATTTTTTGTTGGTAGATTGACCGTGCCAACCAGGCTTCAGGAAAATTTAAAAACTTCAACTGGCAACACTGACAGTATCGAAGTCGTAGAACGGTAGATATACTTTGACACATTTATCAAATCAGTCGGATTTTGAAAGAGGTTGGGTGTACATCATTCTACAATATATTTACGATTTTGAAGGTTATCCATACCGCCGGCGGCAGTTAAAAGGCGGCAAGTGACAAACCTATAGTTTTGAGAAAAATGGCAAAAACTTTGTGATGTTTTCCTTCATCAATAAGAATATATACATTCGATGTTATTGTTCAACACTAATTGGATATACTATATTTAGTTATTTAATAAAATTATATAAGGGTTTCTTGCCTTGAACTGCTAATATAGAAATTAATTCCACGCTGTGTTGACGAGCACAGCGCAGAGTATATACATACGACTTGTCGTTTCGTGGAAATACCCAAGCTCACCTGATGATGGGGTAGGGCCCCGAAACCGGTAGTGAGAGCAGGTTGATCCACATTATGACGAACACAGCGTGGAATTAATTTCTATATTAGCAGTTCAAGGCAAGAAACTCTTATAATTTTATTATATACCTAAAAACTGCAAGAAATTTATTTTTCATTATATATTTAGTTATTTATAGGTATTTTTAGACAATAGAGCAAGTTTTGTTTAAAAAAATGTTGGTTAATTCTTTCCTGCTTCGTTTTCTGTAAACTGTTCAAATAACGCCTTTTAACTGCAAAACCTTTGACGTGAATCAAGTAGAATATGTTAAGGTTTTTACTTAAAAAAAGATAAGTTTTAAGTATCATCTATTTATTAAACACAGTATATTTTTCAAGTTAATAGTCATCTTGCAAATTTTAAGTAGTTATACAGTTTAACAGTTATACCGTTCCGGTCATTTAATTCTGTGTATAGGATTTTAATGGACACGACAGAGAATAATACAATTGACAGGTTGACAGAGAGAGAGACGCAAAATAAAAGAGGGGATACAGTGTTGCCGGTTCGTAAACGTGTAGGCAGGATTAAGAATGAGCATGGTGGGAGCACAAATCGACTCCGATACCGATGATAATTCGAGACTGCACTCAGTAAGACTGCCAGATAAACTTCCTCTAACAACCTCTGCATAACTAATAGCATATTGTCAAATAATATCATTAGAATCGAGGGGTATTTCGCAGGGGAATTTTGGTGTACAACCTCTAGGAATTAGTAGGGAATTAGTGGGGAATTAGAGGAATTAGTGGGGAATTACTAGGAAATTAGAGGAATTAGTGGGGAATTAGTCAGGAATTAGTGGGGAATTAGAGGAAGTTAATAGGGAATTAGTGGGGAATTAGAGGAATTTAGTGGGGAATTTGTTCGCTTATAGATGATAATAACTTCATCGATACAAATACCTCATTGAAAAAATTACACAAAATTGATATCCAGAGTGAGGATAATGTTCTATCTAATCTAAATAGAATAGAAAAAAATATCAAAGGTGTGAGAGGGAGAGACGAGCTAGAGAAAAATTGGTAGATGACCAAGGTTTAATCACCGATTACTTTTTCATCGCTGAAAAAGTGAGCGAAATAGTCATTAAAAACAGTGAACTTCTCAAAACATTGCAAGATGTATCACTCAAAAATTCTACTTGCTCAAACCATCAAAATAGGTACGATGATGCTACAAAAAAATTCGCGGTGTATCACTTTTATATAGGAGGCAGGTTACTTTACGAAACACTACAATCAAATTTGAAAAATAACTTACCCTCAATTTCTACGCTAAATAGATTCGTGGACGCTAAAAACGACGCCCTACAAGAAGGTGAATTTGATTTTAAAGGCCCCTCGTCTTTTAAGAGCTATGCGTTTAAATACTGATTTGGTATCTTCTTTGGCAGAAAAAAAAACATATTCCACACACAAGCTGCAGAGTCCCTATATTCTTCGTCAGTTCCAAACTGGGAGTGGTATCAGTGTAGCATAGACAAAATGAAGAATGCTCTGTACAGGACACCACTCATATTTTAACAAAAATGCGTATGCGTTTCCTAAAACCGAAAATAAATCTAACGATTGGAAAATACACTGTCACCTCGGATCATTTCAGGGAATTGGTCCTAAAGGTTTCAAAAGATAAACACCTTCTTACAGATTCTGATCTCAAAAATGAAAACAAAATGAATTTTGCCTCCGCAGAAAAAATGTGCAGTCTGATGGTAATTGAACAACTTAATAAGGAAATTCCACAAAGTAAAGGTAGTGTGGCGTATCTTAAGCTTATGAATTACGTTAAATCGTCGTTCTTCGACTCCAGCACTGTTTCACGTATTCGGCTATATCGCATCTGGTATGTAGTCACTAATCTTCACTAGAATCTGTAGAGCTTGGATTAAAGAAAAAAAAGAATACAAAACATCAGAAAATTTTTTGACCAGTATTGTTACCTTTGCAACAAGATGAATGCCCACGCTTTAATTAAAGTGATACTGAAGATTAAAAACTCCCAGTTAAGACCAGAAATGTTAAGCATCGGCATTCTTGGTAGCCAAGCCTGTGAATCCTTATTTCGTTATGCAAAATCCATAACCAAACCAAACCATTAATCAATTTTAGTATAAAGGATATTTATGCTGAACCGAATTTAAAGAATTAGCACAGTAAATGGTACCATAAATGATCTAAGGGGAACTTTTGCATTTCCAAGAGAAAACAATAGATTGAAAAACAGACTGAAGGAAGAAAAATTACCACTGGAAGAAGAAGTTCCCAATTTGGATACCAAACCTACAGTTGAAGAAGCTCTCCAAATGGTCGTAGAAGATATGAATCGTTTTGGAATCAATGCCAAGAAAAACGACTGGAAATATATGCAGATACCATTATTTACAAGACTGAAGAAAAACGGACAGGACAACGAAGATATTGACGAAGATGATGTTGAACTTAACGAAAACTCCGAGGAAAATGAAATTGACCAAGATCTAGCAAATTGTGTCAATAATGAAGATTGTATAATTATGGACAAGGTTGCGGACTTAATTTCTAACGAGATCCCTAATCGCGAATGTGATGATTCTTTGGAAACAAGTTCCATAAGTTTAAAAGATTTTTCCCAAAAAGTACATAGCATATCGGAAAAATCACCGTATAGACAACTCACTCTTGGCAAGAAATTTTCGATTATTAAAAAGTCATCGTACTGCTGGCTTTTAGATCAGTCTAATGGTAACAACCACATAAAAAGAAAACCTTGGATGACCAACGAGATCCTAAAAGTAATGCAACAGAGAAGGAACAGCAAACAAAGAAAAAGCTTAGATACCAAGACCTCCATAGAATAGTAAGAAGAAAATGCAGGGAAGCAAAAGAACAGTGGCTAGTAGAGAGGTGCAGTGAAATAAAGCAGCTTCAAAAGAAGTATGACTTTTTTAATATGCACAAAAAGATCAAAGAAGTGACTTGGAAACATCAAAAAAGGCAAAGCGGACTACAGCGCGACACCCAAAATCAAATCCTCGTGGGCCCTGAGGAAAAGCTGAAACACTGGAAGGATTATGTGGAAAACCTCTTTCGTGATAATAGGCCAAATCAGAGCCCACAGGCAAGCCACATCAATGAGGCTGTTATCACCAAGGACGAGGTATCGAACATCAATCTACGAAAGGATGGTAAAGCTACTGCTTACGTACTGGACCGGATGAAAGCCACGCGGAAACACTAAAACTCCTCACCTATCAAGACGGTGCTGGGCTAACTTACCTAACAGACTTGTTTAACGACATATACAGTTCCGGTAAAATACCATCAGATTGGCTCAAGTCAACTTTTGTTACCCTGCCTAAGAAGACCCACGCATCCCGGTGTGACGACTATCGAATGATAAGCTTAATGTCTCATGTGCTAAAGATCTTTCTACGAATCATACACACGCGTATATACAGGAAATGCGAACAGCAGATAGATCACACCCAGTTTGGCTTCAGGAATGACGTGGGGACCCGTGAAGCACTGTTTTCGCTTAACATACTTACACAGAGGGCACGCGACATGAACATAAATATATATGCCTGCTTCATAGACTTCCGTAAGGCTTTTGACTGCGTGCAACACCAGAAAATGGCTGAGATCCTGAGAGCCACGGGTGTGGACGAGGGAGATCTGAGAATTGTAACCGAGCTCTACTGGCATCAAACGGCCCAAGTAAGGTTGGAGGAGCGCCTTCCTGTCGGAAGAAATGGTTATAGGGAAGGGCGTCCGACAGGGTTGCATATTATCACCCCTGCTCTTCAATTTATATTCGGAGGTGATCTTCAAGGAAGCCCTTAAAGATATGCACGGTGGAGTCAAAATCAACGGAACCATAATTAATAACATCAGATATGCCGACGATACTGTATAACCCACAAAATTTTAAAAGTTACTGGTTTGTGGAAGTAGGCTTTGAAATTAAATAAGACAATAGAAAATTTCATTAATGACTTATATTTAATTAACAATTATAAACAATCAATGTAATTGGCTGTGACAGTCTGGATTATATGAGATTAGATATGCAACTGGAATACTTAAGTGTTTCTGCTTCGGTTGGTTGGGAGAAAGGCCTCACCCTCTTCGCTGCACTCGTCTGCTGGTGGGTAGCGTGATTGTCCGGCTAACGCTGGAGAGCTTGTGAGACTCCACCAGTCTCAGTGCGTGAGCTACTTATGGGGAGGGTCAATTCTCGTATCTTCCTAGAAGATAACAAACAGCACTATTCTACTCAACACAATTGATAAGTACCCAGTTTTGTGGTGGTGTTCTAAATTACCATTTGAACTGTCACCATTGTTGGTTGCCAATGAAGGTACAATAAAAATAACTTATGATTAAACAACATATTAGTGATTCAAATAAACAATAATCAATATCTAAATCCAACTACTAATTATTATAATAAAAATTATAATTCAAATTTAAAAAAGAAAATAGGCAATGACAGTTTAAATTAAGTTATAATTGAAAAGATTGTCCAAATTATTTAAAGAATATAGAGAATATAAATAGAGAATTATAAAAAAAAAATATAAAAGAAAAATATTTTGCTCTCTCTCTCTCTCTAGAAAATTCCAGACCACCACAATCATTTCGGTACGACTTGAAAAAAAAAATATATTGTTACAGTAAATTATTTGATTTAATTTGTAGACACGTGTAAAAAGAATAAAAAAATATGTAAGATTAAAAAACTAGAAATATATGAAAATTTAAATTAGAACAAAAGTTAATACTAAAATGCGATATTAAAATATAAATTTAAAAAACTAGATAGAAAGATAAAGGTAAATAGAAAGATAGAGATAAGATACGAAAAACGATAAATGCGCAATTCGACAGATAAAAACTAAAAGAAAAGATATGTCACTCCAGGAACAAAGATAATGCATCCGCCAAATAAGATAAAGATAATTTACTTCTATGATTTAAATTTTAATTCTTACTAGATTTAGGGAAATTTCCTAGACCTGGCAACTATGACTAATATTCAAGACAATCAAAGACGGTCAAAGGACCGTCTCCATGTTAAGAGATTCCATACTTCTTTCCCACCACTTGATATGTCATAGCTGATTGGTCTCATCTTCCCACTCGAAGATTTGGAAGCCATTTGGAATTTCTGTCGCCACGTGTCACCCATGAAACTCTTGAGTCATAGGCGTACTAATATTATATTTCCATTTAGATTTAGTATTACAGCCAATTATAGTTTAAAAGTTTTACTTATGAATTCTGTAAAATTTAATTTTCTAGAATTGTTATAAGAATCGTTTTATGATAGCTGACAAAGTTTAAGACGGAAGATGATCGATGCGGGGCGTCGTCGATGCGGTTCGTGGATACGATCCGTTAGTTCGTCTGGAAATTTGTCCATTTTGTTCGTTATATTTCTTTTAATGGTTCACCCAAAAACGATATTCTGTCAAATCGCCGCGCAACCCATCGCACGGACCCGTTCGCGCTAGAGGTGTGTAGTTCGTGAACGAACTAGTTCCAATGAATTATTCCAACCCCGGGGTAGCCCGATGCTAGGCAGGAGTGGGGAGTGCCGGCCGTACGTTATCGGATCCGGACCTAGAGGAACTAAAACTAAATAAAAAGACTAGTTTACGTACGTACGGATCGGGCCAGGGCAATCGATGCTAGGCAGGAGTGGGGAGTGCCAGCATAATGTTATCGAATCCGGACCTAAAGGAACTAGAGGAACTAAATAAAAGACTAGTTTACGTATGGATCAGCCAGCGCGATTAAGGCTAGGCAGGCGTGGGGAGTGCTAGCCGTATGTTATCGGATCCGGACATAGAGGAACTAATTAAAAGACTAATTCACGGGAATCTATTCAGTCGGCAGATCCGAGATATAATACAAGACGACTACGATGGATTCGGCATTGTCTATTGCCACAGCCGGCGTAATCACCACAGAAAATTTTCGTAAATACTGTTTTTGATTTTTAGCTTGTCTTAAATATTTTATGGAAATGTTTCACTTCAGGTCCCTAAAATTCAGAAATATCTTATAAAACGAAGTAGATATTCTGAATTTTTAGACAATTTTTTTTTCGTAAAATTAATGTAATATTTGCTCCAATTGATTTGTGACATAGTTTTTTAAACTCTAATTTGAGTTTCTTTTTTATTTTTTTTATCTGCAATAAAACTTACCTATATGTTTTTAACATACACAATTACACGTCTCGTTATATTATCTCCGTACATTATAAAAATTATACAGATCATACTGTGAATAGTTTTGACTGACAACTAAACGCATTAGCAAGCAAGGGGGATGTCAATGTTAGTCGGGAACTATTGTGAACTAAAGACCTAGTTCAAGGAACTATTCCTCTGGAGGAACTAGAACTAAGGAACTAGTTCCTCCCAGGGAACTAGAATTCCCACCTCTAGTTCGCGCAACAAATCGACCTATCTAGAACTGTGTCAGTGCATGGTAAGTATTGGTCTTTATTATAATGCTGTATAGTTTACTGTAACACTTAAATAAAAACTATACATTTATATATTTATGGTTCTAGTTGTGCTACCTTTTGAGGGGTGTAAAATAAATGATTTATTTATAATAATATTAAATTTCTGCGGGGTGGTGTAACTAGTGTTACAACGGTTGTGAGTATGGTATTACATTATCATAATGTTATAATATGAAATATACCTACTACCTATTTTGTCTAATATTGGTACAGAAAACTTATCAGTATAAAGTTTTATTATCTTTAGCCTTTTTAATGCTGTTTGTAACCCTCTATGTCTATAATAATGGACAACGAGTAATTAGTAATTCTGAATATATCTATAAGAACTTTTAGTTTTAAGTACGCCTATGACTGAAATGCAGCGCCCACCTTCTCCTTCTAGTCAGCGGCCATAATGTCAGTGTCCATCAGAGTCAAGGATGAGTAGAGATAAATAAATTTAAATTTATTCATTTTAGGGCCTGCTCTATTCTAACATGTAAGAAATATTTATTGATGGATAAGTACGGCAGATATGTAATAAAAAGCCGTTTTGTATGAATACCGAAATGGTATTTGAAGAACATATTATAATCAAATTATCAAATTGAATTGATAATAAATTTATGTGCCCGTGTTTTATAAGCCTTGTGCAGAAAATTGACTATAGTAATAAAAAGATGACTCATGTCAATGTTTATCCCAAATTATAAATCGATAAGAGTTCTCATTAATAATAGTAATGTGGATATATTTTCCAGAACTTACTTTAACTTTATTTAAAAATTACTTTTTTAATTTTGTACTAGTTTATAGCACTTAACAATATAATCAATCATTTTTCTGTCATCAATGTATCATATACACCTCTATAATTATTTAATACGTAATTACAATGATACATAATTATACTGATTACAATGGTCGACATGTCAACAATAGAATTTGCGCTATTTACCACGTTATGTAATTAACTGATTATCTGCCATATTAGGTATCTGCGGATGTACGTCACTAACGTAATAAAGAAGCAAAAAATAACCAATAAATAAACTAACGAAAAGGTTAGTTTATATTTAATAATACGCGGCTTTGGGTGCCAGTTGTCGTGTATATGAAGAGTACAGTCAACATGTTCAGTACAATACGATATACTGAGAAAGAAAAGACTCTATAATACGAGAGAAGAATGCGAAATTTATTACCTATTAAGTCGGATCGGTCGACAATAGAATTTGCGCTATTTAATACATTATGTTAGTAATTGATTACCTATTTTATTAAGTAACTACGGATGTACGTGATTAAGTAATAGCATGTTTTACGGTTAGTTTATTTAATTATACGTACACACGGCTTTGGTTGCCGATTTGCTGTCCTCCATTCGCGAATTTCAAGTTCCAGAGCTTTACGGTCTGGGCTACTCGAGAACGGTTCTGAAAGGAGCTGTGCGCGATAGCCTCGTGCCTCCATATGGCGCGGAACAGTTCTGAACGTTATGATTCAATTGGATGGAGTGAGATTATCGCGTTCTTGAACAGTTCAGAACTGCACAACAGCGAGAATGGAGGACAGTCGTGTGTACGAAGAGTACAGTCAATGTGTTCAGTGCAATACGATATAAGAGAGAAGAGTAAGAATTTTCCCAAGCGTAACCATGAAGTAAAACGTCGGATTAAGTGGATATAATAAACTTTGGATTTTTTTCTCCCCGATTTACAACATCGCCATAGCGATTCACTTCTACACATGTAGGTAAATGCCGAGGGGTTAGCCGCTGACAAATTTCTGTACACTAATACCACGTATAATGGAGAAAATGCCAACTAATACCACGATTAATACCACTAATACCAAGTAATATCAACATCTTGTACACCAAAATACACCAGCGGTTTACCCCTCCCTCAGTAAATGCTGACCCAAGACCAGTGCCGCTTTATCCATTAGGCAAGATTAGGCAAGATAGGCAGCTGCCTAGGGCGGCAGGCCGAAAAACAAAATTTACTTGAATTTTATTAATTGAAGGGGACAGCAAAATAAATGGTGCGTAGGGTACCAAATCACCCACCTTCGACATTAGTATAAGTGTATAAGCCGATTTAGACGAAAAAAATGAAAATCAGTATTATTTCAAAATTATTCCTACTAGTTTCATTTAAAAATATCAATAATTTACGGTCTAATCTTTTTT